AAAGACGGCGATTCGCTCCACCGCAAAGGTATCGTTATTATCCTGCGAAAGACGTAACGCGATTCATCTGATACTGATTCATATATTATAACGCGTGGGTCCTTCCGATTTTAGTTTATTCTTTTACATAAAAGCACATAGTATTTTTCCATTCCCACTCCAGGCTTTTTAAAGCGGGATGTACTTCACCTATATCACCTTTATGGATGTGAAATCACATAGTACAGTAATTCGCACTTTCCAAGAGCCTGCAAATTCAATCAACATATTACTTAATATTCGAAAAATTTTAATCGCCTCCATACCAACATCTTTATAACTTACCTAAATCGACGGTATATATTTTTTAAATCAAAATAATTATTTTTTTCATTTGCGATATTTGGCAATTATATATCTCTTTCAACTCAATAATAAGCTTGGCGCTGTGTATAGACTGTATAGACGCTTATATTTTACTTATTACTTACATGTTTATTCATGTCTGATTTTTGGTATGTACATTTCGATAAATGTCAAATGGCTTAAGCTAAATTTACAACTTATTTTTCATGTACCCCTAGAATTATTTTAATGAGACCATGAGTAGAAACTTTGACCTAGATTAATAGATCATTTATTTATAATGTGTTAAATTTTTAAATGTTATAAAATACAAAAATTGTGTGGATATTTGATATTATTTGATTTAAAATAGTTAAATCACACCAATAAGTATTATTCATGTACGTGATTCTAAATTATTATAAACTACAAAGTGATTATGCTTTATTATTCTATTCATAATACCAGTGAAAAAAATCGTTAATATATATTTGTTTAATAAGTAATTTAATATAAATAGGATAAAAGTTTAATAAAATGCTAATTTTATATGAAATTAAAAGTCAGCAAAAGTTTTTAAAATGGTAGTTCTATCTAAGTTTGTGTTTAAGATTATTAAGTACTACTAAAATAAGTTTTAATTTTATTAAAACTCATACAATACAACGTCACGCATTACAAAAAAATACTAATTTAAGTTTTTTAAGGTCGTTCGACAAAAATATTTAGTGTTACTTTTAACTTAGGACACACTCTACCCATAAATCTGCTAATATATCTAATTACTATTTAATACGTGAGTCCCTTTCACTTTTTATTTCATTGAATTCGTTTAACTATTTGCCCATATGTATTACTTTTTAGTTTTCTAATACTAATTAGTTATTACTGATTAATAATTGGAATCATTATGTATAACGTTTATCACTGTCTATACATTATGGCCGAATTAGTGCTATATACCTACTATATACACTAAAGTAATAAAAAAACTCTGTTAATGATCTACATGATGTATTTTTAAATTGATGAAGGTGTTTTTGATTTAAAACATTTTTTGTCTTCAGATTTTATTAAAAATGATAGTTAATATAATGTTTTAAATAATTAAATATGTGTGTTATTAAAATATGCATAATGGGTTGTAAAATTTAAAGTGTTTAATCACCATACCGATTATGAAAAAAAAATATAGTTAAAAACGGTTTTCTATATTATATAGTTATTGCAGATGATTAACCGGTAGTTTTGACTTTGGCGTGTTCGAGAACGGCGTGAATTCGATTCGATTTTTGGAGTAACCGTTCTGTTTATTAATCAGTAATACGGTTAAGACTGTCACAGCCGCGTGTACAACGGTTGATTGCAGTCTGATATACCTACTAAATAATATCCTCTACGACCATTATTTTTGTGTTTAATATTACAACACCGCCGATATCACGACGATCGATCGGTATCACCGATCAATATTGCGCGTTATCGTTACCTACGCGATCCAAATGCGTATAATTATTATTAACGTTTCGTACCTGAACGCAATAGGTACCTGCAATGTACATTGCAGTCGTGTTGTACGCGCGCGGGCCGACGATTATTGCGCGCCTCTCGATCCCGCGACCGTCGCCCCCCACCCGCACGCGACGAAGTGGTCAGCGGGCCGCTGTCCGGCTGGCCGCGGACCGTCTCTCTCTCACGGCCGAAGACGACGCACGGCCAATGGGAGCGGCTACGGCACCGACTCCTCCCCGGCACATAGTCATTATTGCCGCCGCCGAACGAGTTTTTCCCGGCCGGGTCGTTTAATGGGTTTTTAAGAGACGCGTTTAAAACACCATTAACTCGGCTAACCCTTGAACCCGCGCCGAAGTCGCCACCTACGCCAGCGAACGCCCCTCTATAAATATATTGTAACGACCACGCGAACGCATACATACGTATATAACAATATAATGTCATCGTGCTTTGCGACGTATATACACGGCCGGTACGTGTAAATATTGTCAGGGCACCCGTCATACTAGGACGGCGTGCAGGTAGGGTGCACTGCACCGGATACGTCGCAACATAATATTTTCGTATACCGCGGTATAAATAATACGCGGTCGTCGTGTGTTCGTGGCCATGTATATCATTCCGTCGTAATGGAAACCCGCAACGAGGAAATCCAAAAGTGGTAAACGTTTTCAAACGTCTGATAACGGAGAAATTCGAACTGCCCGTTTGCAATAAGCCGTAAATTAAACGTTTGCAAACCTTTATAGTAAATGCCATAATCCAGCGTTCGGCATGCGTTTGGTTTCAATAATTGTTCCGATGACCAAAACCGTGGTCAAGTTTGTTTATACTTTCATCGCCCCATAACCAGTTACTACCGCAGAGGGCCCAATGGTACTTTTATTCAAAACCTTTAAAGTCTTATATTAGGTTTGGATAATTCACCGCACCACCTACCCTTAAACTTGGTCAACTCGAAAAACGTTTTATACATTGGCGTTCGTATTCTAAAACGTTTACCGCTATCGAATTTCCTCGTTGTCATATAATTATTATTTATTAGGAAGGTATAGGCAGACACTTGATAACCTGTGGTATACGACGTTACCTCATGCACTAAGAGCAAACTATAATATTATATTAGGTATTGTTAAAAATAACCGGCGTGCGAAAAATAATTGGACAATAGTAGCATATTCATTTCTAAATAAAATAATAAATCTAAATGTCGAATTTTCAGAAGTCATTTCTCTTTTACTTGTTTTTTGATGTAACCGGAATTTCATAGGCTGAAAAAAATCATAAAACCATTATAATATAATAAAGTTACTGGAGTTTTCATACATTGAATTTCTAATTTATATAATACTTTCTAAACATATACTGCAAAATATACTAAACTTATAAGTTATAATTGAAAATCTGACGTTCAATACCTATCCATCTTTATAGTGGTACTGTTTTAGAGTTCTTTTTTTTGTCTTATCATCTTGTCTTGTTACAATGTATTAAGTATAACCATATGAATAACAATTCAATTAATGTAAAACTTTTATTACTTTAATGAAGTTCATGCATAATATTATTATCGTTAGATTTTATAATGGTAACTCCCATAACAACTATAATGTGTATACTTCTATAATATTATAGTATAATATAAACTTTACACAAACAACATAGTAATAGCATCAGATGTGTGTACCTACCTACTAAGTACCTACTATATATTACATATAGTTATAGTATTTAAAAAATGTTTTTAAAATTAAAAAAATACGTACACAACACATAGATAGCTGCTGATCGGTAATAGATTAAAACGTGAGAACCATCTTCATTAGTGGAAGCCACGCTTAATAGTATTATTGCCAATCGAATCGTGGATACACATTTCCAACTACTCTATAATATAATATATTATATAATATTATATCCTTTCTAAAAATATAATATCATCAGCAGTGCCATCGATTCGCCCGAGTCATACTAGGCTTAATTTCATGTCTCGTTAAGAAACTATAACATTATGTAATGCACGTAAATTATCATAAGTTATGATTGTTATGATTCACAACACGTAAATAAGGTATCTGAAAATCTGCCACGAATGTCGACTGAATATATGTGATATAATCTTGACCAATTGTTTTTTTTTAAACAATGGTTTTTTTTTTTTTTAATAAGTTTTTTCAGGTTATTTTATAATACATAGCGATTAATAATTGTTATAAATATGTAGGTATAAAATAACTATTTTTAATTTATCCAGTTTTTAGTAAATACAACAGTAGCATAAAAATGCAACAAAATAGTATAAGATTTAAATATCATAGATTCAAATAACATTTTTAATTATTTTCATTTATTCGTGAATATTTTTCTCGAGTATTTATTTTGTTACGGTATAAAAATTACCATACAAAACATAGTTAAGCAACACACCTGTTAACATTACGTCAAGAGATTGTTCAAAACTTTATTAAATTATAAATCAATAATTTTTTCAGAGTTTATTTTTTTAGCATTATTATTTTTAATAAAAGTTATAACATTATAATCGATAACTCATTGAGTTTTTTGAATCGATCTTCGGGCAAAACAAATTTAAAAAACAATAATGTACAATAATTGCTGCAGCAATCGATGAAAATTTACTTCGTACAGTGGTCCGAGGCCGTAATGGCGACCGGCACTGCAGCTATAACATAATCTGCTGCAACCAAGTGTACATAACAGCAGTCGATTTTTCAACGCCCGTTTTCTTGCAGCGGTCACACTAATTGGATTTTGGACCGGTCCCAATATACATACCGGGATTACCTGCAGTACGACATTATATTATTATAATATTGTATATTATGTATGGTAACCTGCAATACAACCTACACCTGCTATCCGTCTCCGTTCGAGACGTGTGCGCGTATGATATCGTATAGGTAGGTGCTTATAAAATTGTTAATATTATTATTTTTACTAATAATATATATATAGGTAATATATGCACTCTCATGCGACCGCGCGTCCACGTTCAAACAAATTATTGTAGATGGAAGTCTCGGATGGTCCTCCGGCGTCTCTTGTCATTTTGTCTAATGGTTTTCCCGTGTACGGTCGTCGACGGATGCTGCTACAGCTTGTGCCCACCATATTAATCATAGTAAATATATTATACTATTATTTTATCGTGTTCGCGAAATCTTCCACGATTTCTGTTATCACGCTTCCTGTTTGATTTCCATTCACCGTCGCCATCCCTGCAACATTAACGCGAAGGTTCTATATAGTAAATCTATTATGCGTATATTTAGTATAATTATACGTATTTGTGCGTGCGCGTTTGTAATATTATACACGCGCACATATATTATTATAAAGTATATTTATCGAAATAGGATTTAGAGTATTATTCGTTTCAAGTATGATGGATTTTAGGTCGATAAAAAAAAAATGTGATGCTCGGTGTATGTTTCCAATTATATTATATTATGTTGTATCTATATAAGGATAAAAAACATTTTTGGCATCGTGTCAGATTTTTAATCTACAAACAGATCTTCTACAGACGTGTTTTAAACTATTGTCTTATAAGCGCATTATTTTTTATTTAACCGCGCAATAATATTGATATAATGATAAAATAATAATAAGAATTGCCACACGAACGTTTCGACTAGCAATAAATAACATGTTGGAGGTTTTTACAATAAACAAATCCTGTAGGCGTACGACCATAATATTATTCAGCTTTTATATTATATAAACGTATCTGTAAAGACTTTTGACTGTAGTTTTTTTTTATTATGTTCACTTCTGCTTTTTACATATGATTTAAAATGTAATTTGATTGTTTTTATTTTTAACTAATCGCTACGATTGGAAGGAAGTTTTTACGTATTTACTGGAAATTTTTTTATGCCCCCAATTGCGTTACTTTAAGTGATATGATTTAACCACAAGATTTTTTGAAACCATATAGAAATCGATTATTATTATTATAACTATAATATTATATAATTGAACAAATTCGTTGTTAATTGACTACAGTATGTACACATCCATGATCTATCGGCATCATCAATCGCGCCCCACGGCATCTTGACAATTATCCACATATACACATACCATGGCATGCATCTAGTTCTGCACTATACAATAATCGCATCGATTATATAATTATGCACAAATTATTGCTACTGTCCATCAAACTACAGTTTGAAAATCTTGCTTGAAACATGTATAATTCAGTACCTATTCATAAGTACACATATTATTCCGAGTAGAGTTTCGTTTGAACGCCGCCAATGCAATGTATACCTTCATAATATAATATACAAGCATAAATATAATTACTTTAATTACCATCTTAACTTGAGTTGATAATACCCCATGGCAAAATAATTTTTTGTTGGATAACAAACGTCAATCATAATTTATTTTGCTGTGAAATAATATTAATTATTTTAAAGGTGTGACTTCTGCAAAGTCGATACGTCATAATATATACCTAAACATAATAACTTCTATACCTAATATAAAATACCGATATTATTTGTGTATATTGTAAAATTATCTACACAATGTAAACATATATGAGTATTAGCTGTAGGCAATAGCACTAGAAAACACGAAATACAAATTAAAAATCGATTAGGAATTTCATGTTCAAAACTTGTACACGGCCACCTGACATCCAAGGTCAATTTTTTTAGAAATGTATTATTTTGTCATAATAACACTCAACGAAATATACAAAATGACTTCATTAATGAGTTTTTTCATTTTTTCAAAATACTAAAAGTCAATCAAGAACAAAATACCAAAATAAAAATATACTAAATTAAATTACCAAAAATATTATATTTATGTATATATATCTCACACAAATTCAGATTTTCGAATAAACTTAATTTTAAAATTCTCGTTTACTGGATACAGTATTTATAAACACGATTTATACAATCAAGTCTCTAATTTAAATTAAAACATATTGAAAATTGAAAAACATATTTTAGTATAATAGGTATATACCAAAATAATTATTTTTTTAAATTGAAGTTTCATATGATTGGTGTAAACATAAACCGATTCACTAAACAAACAAAATGTATATTTAAAACTTTTTTTTGATTATTTGAATTATAGTATCTAATTTCTAAAAATTTAAATCGGTATAATATTACACTAAAAAAAGTTAGTGAATAAAATCATATTATTACATACACCTAAGTGTAATAGTTAAACAATTTATAATTTATTATTATTTTCCTATTATAACCAACCTATGCTGAGGTGTCGTAGTAATTTCAAATTATCGTGTATAGTGGGCGTCGGCAACGATACGTTAAAAAGTTGAATGTGGTGGATAAGAAAACCGCTTCAAATCGAATTTTAAACAGCGGTCTAGTTTTCCGTTCTCGGTAAGACCATTAATAAAGGCGGTCATGTTCGACGGATATATAATATTTTACAATACACTAAACAAAATGACTGCGTCTGGTCAGTGATGATTTATATGTTAAATTTATAAGTGAAATAATATTAATCCAACGGTGTCTTATCCAGGTAGAAAGCGTATTTATATGGCGTGATAGAGTCGTAGAGACTGCAAACTGAATGAAGAGGCTTTCTTGCGGCTACATAATATAATAAAATATAATATTATGTACATACGATTTGTACATACTAACACTATAATGCATGTACCGCAGATAATCCGCAAACGAAGATCGTTGTATAACTTAACGACGCATTGTCCATTGCTCGAGTTTCGAGAATGAATGAATACGTCTTATCCTAATACGCTCATAATAAAATGTGTAACATAGACATGTACCTAATTTAACCAGCTGAAAAAGAAAACCACTCTCTGAAGTAAGTAAGTATAGTTACAATATTTTTTATTATACACGATGACAATTTAAGTAGGTATTATCATAATAAATATAATTTTAACATTGTTTAGTCAGATATTTTTTTTTTTTTTAACTTAGATTTGTAGTATAAGTTATTCATTAATACTGAACATAGAATTTAAATGTTTAATTCTATTTTTCAGAACTGTAAATTTAATTGATTTAATATTTGTGGGAGAAATATAGACATTAAGTATTCATCTGAAATATGTGGTTTGTTTATTATACATTAATATTTACTACACTATATTATATCATGTTTCATGTATGAAATACTTTGATTAAAATATTTCAGGATTGTAATTCACAGCGTATTACAAATGCATTTCTGTGTATTTTCTATTAAGATGATACTCTGATTTAATAGTATTTTTCATACCTTGTTAATTCATAAACCAAAAATTAACAAAAATAACGTTATATTTCATATAATTTTTTGAATTTTGAACTATAAAAACTATAAGTGCACTTAATTGATTTTTGAAGCTAAATTTTTTAACTCATAAATCATATTAAACCCTGCTTGAGTATATACAAATTATAAAAACATACAAAACTCAATCGATTTAAACGCCGTTGCGCTTTTCCTGATATGAACGTATGTGCGATGTATGTATAATAGTTTATATATAGCCAGAACACATTTTCAGACTTGGGTATATGGTGGGAATGTTGCTGTGGTGTGATTGTGTGTATGCTGAAAGACGACGCCGTTTTCAGTTTTGTTAACGAGACTTGCAAAAGTCACAACAAGCGATTAACGTAATGTGGGCCGATTGCAAGTGCGGGCCTAAAGTTTAAGGGGTACACCGCGCTAAAGTCTAGTGCCATTCTCATGCAGGCGTCATTCAGCGTAAAGCTGTGAAAGATATCTCGAAAACGAACGATGACGAGACGTGATTTGTGCACTGTACTATATTCATCGCGTGATCACACCATAACGTACCTACGTTATAAGCAATAATAATATTATGCTCAGTGCGAGGTCGCAAAAGAATAATAATATTATATTAAGTCCAATAATCTTAACTGTGCATAGTATAAATATGATCATTTTCGAATCAAGCCGGTTTAAATGGCGCACGAGGACATCTATAAAATATTAAAACGTAGCCGCTTGTTATGCCTACTGGCTAGTGGCTACTACTTTAATATTAACATCTCATATTCTCATGTGTGTCGTATATATTTACACGTAGATATGTCATATACAGCATGTATTAGCATATATACAATGAGATACTCTCGCAGTTCAAAGTCATTCGAACGCCCCGCGATCTTAAAGTTATTTCGTAGCTTTTCACTATATATTTAGTTTCTATCTATATTTTCGTGATAATACGATTTACAACAATATATTACGTAATATTATACACGCCACTTACCTATAAAAGGCTACAATAATTTACGTCGTCGACGACAACAGCGCCGCCGAATCGATCAAACGGCGTGGTGTAATATAGCTGTCGTGTATATTAAACTATATAATACACCGTTATTATGTTTACATCCCCCTCCCCATATCATTTTCCGTCTTTGGGTTATCGTTCAGAATTAGTTTTCAAAAATACCTAATAATAATAACGTTTGTAAGCGCGACGACGTGTCTCGTACATTTTTAATAATAATATCGTCTACGGGCAACGCACACGGAATATAATATAATATATCATACGCACAGCACGCAACGCACGCCATGCCGTAATCATGTCCGGAGCACACACATGCACTCACACTCGGGTCTATCCGAGTCCGCGCGCGCATTACTGCAGTTAATGACAATTTGATTGACTCCCGGACACTGCCTACACATACACACACACACACACACATTGTTATTACTTATTACTTTTGCTGTTGGAACTGACAAAACGGCCGCCCATTATTATTATTGTTGTACGATGTTCGTCTCTTGGTCTATAAAACGCTTTTAATTGCCATCACAACCGCCACCACCCATCGGAAAATTTTCAGACAATCAACACATTTATATTTTTTATATACATTATTTTTTGCATCAACTATTATAACGAATCCATAATCGTATTATGTTTTTGTAGAACAAAATTAGGACTTATGAATAAACCTTATTACTCCATTGATTTTCCCAAGGATGTGTACAGCCTATCAAACATTACTGAAGGTTTACTACATAGAGGTTATTAAGTTATTTGCCTAAAGAATATTTATTATTTTTTTTTTTTTTCTGTGAATGAGTTTGTTATTTAATATAGGTATTATTAAATATCATAAGATTTCACTGATAACTATAATAACATTATATTGATGATAATGATGTATAGGTAAGTATATTTTATTTTATTTTAATAATAACTACATCG